CACTCTAAAACTACAAATTGAACCAAAATCTCAGAAATTTCCAAACAAATATACAAAACAGCTTAAGAGCCTATAAACCCAATACACATCGCGAACAACTTCTACACATTGAAGATCTTCTACACAATGCAATAACAATGATCCTTAATTCAACTACACTCGATTTCATATCATCAGCAGCAACACAAGACGGAATTTTCGAAATCAGATTAGAGAAAACATGCGATCTGAGATTCAAACGATTCTCACTCAAATTACGCTTTCACAAGAGAAGAAATCGAGATCGGAATAGTATACAGATTCACCCGAGATCTGAGAGAATAATACAAAGCCGAGGAAAGATTTCAACACTCACCATATTTACAGATTAATTGGAGAAAGGCTTTGTGTCCCTTCGGATCTCGAATTATCGCTTAAGTCTGCAAATCGGAGATCGAAGAACGACGTTTTAGCTCGGTGTGATGAAAACAAATTAAAATCGGAAAAAGGAAATTTTTCGCTTAAGAAACGACTGAGTAAGACATTTACGAAATTGCCACTTGTTTTGGGCCTCTTAAAAGTTGAAAAAAGAGCCCATTAATAAAAGGCATATGCCCAAATAATAAAGAGATTAGGCACTAATTTCCAATTTCAGTTTTTCCATAATTTTAAAAGTTATGCCTTCATTTATTTCAGAATTTTATAATTTTGAGATGTATTAACCTTCTTATAAAATATTATTAATAATTTTATTTATAATGTATTTTCTACTTATTTTTATAGTATGGAGGAGTATATAATTATTTAAATAAATTTCTGGATTTTCATAATTATCACAGAAAAAACAAAAATGAAAGTATTTTTGTAAAGTTATATACTTTGAATTCATCTAAATATCCCATATAACCTTTATTACGGAAAATGATCGGTTAATAATGAGTAAGATTCGTATAAAAATATTTACAGTATCAAAAATTACTTGCTAGAATATATATTTAGACAAATAGATTAGATAACGCGAGGTCGCGAATATTGGTATGGATTAGGTACGCTTGTTTTAATTTGTAGTTTGTGCAGATGATGCAGCTACAAAGATCATAGGGGACTAAATGGACTTTAATCTTATTGTTGTTGAAGATGTTTATGGATAAACTCATTATGCTGCCAAATCTCATCATTAGAAAATATAGTATTTATATATTTGGTAATTTAAATGATTAGCAAATTGACCGCATAGCGCAGTGGATTAGCGCGTCTGACTTCGGATCAGAAGGTCGTGGGTTCGACTCCCACTGTGGTCGA